TATATATGCTTTCTACTTGGCTGAAAATTTTCTAACAATCACACAAGTAGTAACAATAATATAGGCCTTCGCCTGACCATCGTATTCTTGCTGATGGACGAACAATTAATGCTCGTATATATGACAATAAATGCCATCTTGAATCTTGGGGTGTAAAAGGCAAGTGTGATACATTTATACGATAAAATACTCTTCGTGCATGGTGGCATAGTATCTTATTCATCGACGAATGAAATACATCGTAGTAAAGCTTTTGGGTGGTATATTAAACTTTCTGCAGCAAGATTCTTGGCAACAAATTCCAACCAATCACAGAGCAGAAAATAATTTACTGCAGTGAGTTTAAGTTACCGCTGCGAGTTTAGCGCCCTCCATGCATATTTTGTCCAATCAGAGGCCAGAGAACTCACTGCAGTAAATTTCTAATTGAACTGCAGTTCAGGAACCGAATACTGAGCGATATCGCACTCCATAAACGTTGGTTACCGTTCATTACGCCTAAATGACTTCATAGGCTTTCTGGGAATAGGCATTTTAAAATTTAATATTTTACCATCAATATGTACTAAAAACACAAATGCTCGCATTATATTAGTTATCCAACACACATTTAATCATCAATTACCATTTACAAGGAAAAAGTACGTTCAGAGGTGGCGCCAGAATTGCCCGACGGGAGGGGGGAGGGGAAGGGGGCCAGGTCAGGTACCAAAAAATTGAACATGGCGAAATGGAGAGCGCCTTCTTTTTATAATGCGCTTACAGTCAGAAGCTAATACATTTATCTTTCAAAAAATACCAAACATAAGAATATTTTCTACAAAAAAAAGTTTCGAATTTAATGAAACATTTACACCAGCTTTAAAATTATGGTATATTTTAACTTGAATTTCCATAAATTGGATAATAGTCGATAATTCTAATTTTAACAGATGTTAATTAAGGAATGATTGAGGATTATAATAAAGTCACTTTAGGGTTAACGAGGGTTAACTATTCGAAAATTCAATCCAAAATCAGAGTAATTTTCAGTTTTACGCTGCCTTAATTTTATGGTCGAACCATCGATATTTAGACAAAATTATAATGAACAAAAAAGTAATTGTAACAGAAATATTTTGGGGAATCTGTTCCTGAAATATACACATATTAACATACTAAAAGTTCCAAAAATCCAATCAGGATAACATTGTTAATTATAAAGGTATTACCGGTAATTAATGAGTTATAATCAAACGGGTTATCGCACAATGCTCAACACAGCATCCTGTGTTGAAGCATGGTTGAAGCGTATAAACGCATGACGTTACCAAGTTGTTGCTAACGAAAAAATGTGAATAATAAGATAATACGTCCGCGCGATCCAAAGGCGGGAACACATTGATTTTTCGCGTCAAATGGATCTGTTGCCAAGTGATCTCCTTCTCATTAATACCTTCATGATTAAACTGTACTCTGAAACTTGATGAAAACAGAAAATATTTTAATTGGAATCGCTTCCGACGTGGTTATAATTGCCTATAATGAACATTTTAAAAACTTATTAGAAGACATTTAAACATAAATCATATAAACACTAGATAAAATACACTTCGAAATATAATTACTTGTTTAAAAATGTAAAATACAAAGTGTCCTTTTTTATATAAAAAAAAAGAAAGTTAAAATGTAAATAAAATATTAATAATACATGTAAGTTTCAAAAACCTTTAGTCTATAAAGAACCTTTCACAGTATAAAATATTAATAATTTTTTTTAATGCTGAAAGTTATTTAACGATTACACGAATAGTTTCAAATATAGTAGGCCTACATAAATTTTGATACATTAAAAAAAACATTCAAATGGTTTTTTGCTTTCATAAAAAGGCGGAGACTGCTACGACAATTACAGAGGAGATACCAAGGGATGTACTGGTCGAATCACCACAAACATCACCAAATCTGATTGTTGTAACTTAGAGGGTGTTGGCGGAACAAGTTTCGGATGGACAGCTACAGATGCATCTGGCGAATCCTTTTTCCGAAGTTTGATCGAAGGTCATAGTACGCCAGGCTGTATACCTTGCAACGGTATGTATTTGTAGGTGTGTTCCGCGGAGCTCAGGCCTGCGCTGAGTCTCATTCATTAAGACGTCATTCATCACATTTTTTTAATTTAGAACCCTATGATCCTCAGGCTCACTTCTCTTTAACTTTTTTTTTTTCAACTTAATAGAATGAACCATTCTACAATTTATGTAAGTAATGAAGTCAGGACAGGGCTCGACGAAAGAAATGACGTACGAAGTTGTGCAGTGTACATTATCATAGAAATTAGGCAAACCTTCTACTTAAGTAAAGAACTTATCAATATTATATTTATATATATATATATATATATATATATATATATATATATATATATATATATAGGCCTATATATATATATAATACATTTTTTGGGAAAACGGACTGCTTGTATAATCAAAATTCAGGGCTCAACTATTTAACCACATCAAACACCTTTTAAAACCAGAGTCGTAGGTCATGATTCTAGGTCATTACACATTACTCTGGCGTTACTGCGCCGAAATAAATGGTTATCAGGGGACATTTGATAAAACCAGAAAACAAGCCGTTGGGCAATGTTTGAATTATCTAATATTTTTAGTTTTTCTCAAAGGCATTCAATTTTTTTTCGTGAATGAGTTAACTAATAGCCCAAGTTGCAAGGGCAAATTGGATTTTTGTTTTAAATAGTTCTGTTTATAATTTTACAGGCGGTTCTCGCTCGCTAATATATTGGTTGCACCAAAACTCTCAAAGGTGATATTCAGCTATATTATATGACGTACATTTTCTGGGAATTAAGAATTGTAGCTAATTATTACGATTTGCGATTTGGAAAATTGAAAGTGTATCTCGTTTGTATTAGTGAGCTGCTGAAAGAGCCGATGTGCGTCAGATAAATTGAAGAAGCTTTTGTCTTGTGGTAAAATTGCGAATTTAAAATATCAAATAGGCTTAATTTACCTTATAAACTTGAGTCTGTTGAATAATCGACCTTTCCGGACCTTTAACCAAACTGTACAACTGGATCAAACTGAACAACTGCCAATCAGAACAGGAAAAGGATTACGTCAAGCATGGGCGTCGATCAGTGGGGACAGGGGACACGTCCCTCCACTTTTCAAAGTAGGGGGCATGATATCTTGATTGTAATATGTCAATGTCAAATCACATTGAAAATATTTGTAAATCTGTACGATTTCAATTGAAAAATGTATCAAGGATTAGAAAGTACATTGTAACCATGCAGTGAGAAGTCATGTACTCTCTAGACTAGATTATTGTAATGGTCTCCTTACAGGGGTTACCCAGGCACACATTAGGAAACTACAAAGTCTTCAGAATTGGTCTGCACGTCTCATATATCGTGAAGACAGACGTAGTGATGCCAGACAACTGATTAATTCTCTTCACTAGCTACCCATCAAAGAACGCATTTTATTTAAAATTCTTTTATTTGTGTTTAAATTTTTCAATGATCAAGCACCAATATACTTCAGTAGTTGTTTAAAAGTTCATCATACATTACGACCAAATCTTCGCTCTGAATCAGACCCTTTTCGCCTTTCATTCCCCTTTAGTTCATAGCAGATCAGGTGATCGTTCCTTTAGTGTAACAGCGGCCATAGAATGGAATAAACTCCCTACAGTTATTAAAACAACATATAATGTAGAATCTTTTAAAAAACTACTGAAAACATATCTTTTTTCAAAATTAACTTGAGCTTATTGCTTCAAATCATTATTCAACTCTGTAAACGCTATGATATAGTTTTCTATGAATAGCGTATCTAAATACTAATACTAATACTAATACTAATGATATCAATTGTCCCCACCCACTTTCCACCAATCCTCTATAATTAAAACCCCAATTTTCAAAGCGAATGGAAAGAATAACAATTACGCATGACTGTCATGAATGATTTATTGTGAAAACAATGTACTATACGTTGTTAAAATTGGAAGCGTGTAAACTTATTAGGCCAAAGTTTTTACAAACTCAAAAGTGCACAATTTCTACTATAAACGATTTATTTCTTTGTATTTTATTATGACCCTTACGTATATACTAGAGTAAAAACAAATGTAAAAATAACCACAAATGTCAAAACATTCTATCCGCAAATGTCAAAATATCCGCAAATGTCATAGTATGTCAACCACAAATGTAAAAATCACCACAAATGTAAAAAAAATCGCCCACAAATGTAAAATAATAATAATTCTGGATTTATATAGCGCCTCCCGTTGACACATCCTCGATGCGCTTGAACATTATTACCTCCGGATCACTGGATCAAGCACATATGGAACACACACTCAAGCCCCATAGGGGAATTCCATAATGTTGCAGCTGTATTCAGCGCAGGCTGTGTTTGAACCTACCAGGTACCCACTTGTACTCCTGGGTGGAGAGAGACAACCGTTAGATAAAGTGCCTTGCCCAAGGACACAGGCGACACTCACAGCGAGAGTTTTGAACCCCCGACCTCGAGGTTTGAAACCACAACCGATGCGCCAACCACTTCTACAAAAAAAAATCTGTTTAACCACAAATGTAGTACATTTTACCTACAAATGTAAAAATTTCCATTTTTACCTCAAATGTCATAACATGTCAACCGCAAATGTAAAAATTTTCCTAAGCATTTAAATCCTTAGGATATTGAAAATACCCTAATTAACTGCTATAGTAGAGCAGCTAAAGCACCAAGTTGCGCATTTTAGTAGAGCATATATATCTTGGCAATGGAAAATCGTACAGACTTAGTTTTGGTCTCAAATTGTTGGGAACATACATGTTGCTTTTTGCTCTAATGTAGCATTTTGTCCAAAAGTGATCGGAAATGGCATTTTTGATCTTTGAGCCTACATGAACCAGCATATCCATATCTCCAAAACTGTTAGTCATAGAGACCTAGTTTCGACTTCAAAATGTTCAGATGATGCATGTTTCTATTTGCTCTAATGTAAAATGTAAAATTTTGCCCAAAAGTGACTAGAAAGGCATTTCTGACCTTTGACCCTAGATATCCAGCATCATCCATGTCTCAAAAAACGGTTGGCCTCAGAGACTTAATTTTGTCCTCAAATGTTTCAGAACATGCATGTTCCTATTATGCAACATTTTGTCCTAAAGTGACTGGAAATGAAGTTCCAGGATATTTAAGTCTCCTTAACCGTTGGTCATAGAGACCTAAGTTTAGCCTCAATTTTGTTCGGAACATATATATCTCTATTTGTACTAATGCAACATTTATTCTAAAAGTGACTGGAAATGACATTTTTGACCTTTGACACAAAGGACCCTATAGCATGTCTATACCTCTATAACCATTGTTCATGGACACCTAGTTTTGGCCTCAAATTGTTCAAATATGCATGTTGCTATTTGAACTATTGAAATGTTTTGTCCAAAAAG